TATAATAGGAGAAAAGAAAAGAGGGAAGGAAGGAGGGAAGGAGGCAAGGAGGGAAGGAAGGGGAGTGGAAAAGAAGAAACGAGGGAAGGAAAGAGGGAGGGAGGGAAGAAGATACCTAACCTTTGATGTCTAGAATGACTTTGATATTATGGGAATATCTCGAAACGTAGTCAAATGTAAAGCAAAACAGTGGTGGATGTTGTATTGTCTTTTACAAGTTATTGATTGTGGTATTTTTCTTTTACTAATTAAAAAAATATATAAATATAATAAACAAACAAACAAACGTAACAGAGTGGGCCTTTCTTAATCAGGTAGAGCAAAAACGCGACATGTTTTCAAAGAACTAGGTAACACTTTATGGAAGAAAGCATTGTACTTCTCCTAGCAGCCGAGTTCTACCTCTCGATCCCTTTCCATAAAAAGGAGATCTTTCAACGAAAACTTGCAGATTTTTATTAAGACTAAGTTGTCTCAAAGGAAAGGACACCAGGTCAACCAACGTTGCGATGTGACACTCACTTGATTTTGCAGGCCTGCGAGACATTTTCTTCTTCAGTGTCTGTAAAACAAAGAAAAAAAACAAAAGACTTTGTGTTGTAATTTGTTACTAGGGCTTTTTTCTTGGGGAATTCCCCGCTGGTGTTCCATTTTCTGAGCAAAATTCTCTTGCAATTACAGATTTATTGGAATCCAATGGCTACTACAGCACCCAGTGTTTTAAGGCCACATCGATTCCAAAGTGTTAAAAAAAGCAGAAAATGCTCAGAAGAGTTTAGAATTTGGAAGCAAACAGACATATGAATCCATTGCAAAATTTTCTTTGTCTAGCTTGAGTGTCATAGATAGACTCCAAACAGTTTGCTGGTTTAATTTGAATTAACCTAAAACACAAAACCAGATTACTGTGGTTTGATTAACAAACCATTATTTTTTTAGTGTCACATCTGAATCCATCGAGGATCAAGGTATAGAAAATGAGAGGATTGAAAGATATCTAGCCCAACTTACTGTTTCTGTATCAGAATCATAAGTCGGAGCAAGAGAGTTATCTTCTGCCTGTAAAGACATAATTATTATAAGATTTCGTCCTGAAGGGTGCTATCTAAATAACTTTATGAGGCTGGCATTCACTGAGATGGAGCAGGGGTCCCTCAATCGAGTCAATTCTGACTGGCAGCTACTTCTCCGAGGCTTTCTCATCCTTTTATCCTAGAACCTTTAGCCTGAGATGGCTGGAATATGGCCAATCTAAATTTCTCAGGAAGGTTAGAAAAATAATAACCATCCATCCATCATCAGCCATCTGTGATACTGGTTGGCCAACTCAAGATGCCAGTGACGGAATGCAAGTTACTGTCTGGAACAATCAGCTATAAAAGATCTTGCATGGGGCCCTCTAAAATTGGGGTTTTCTCACAGATGTTTCATTACCCAGCTAGGTCACATCTTAAGTACTAGTAAGGGGTGGGGTTTATATGTACTAGTGGCTCTGTTTATATATACTAGTGGCTTGCTCTGTCAAGTGTTGTTGGGCTGTTTACTACTTGATTATTGGTCTAGTGTTTAGATAGATGGATGAGCAAACAGACAGACAGGTAGATACCTAGACAGATGATAGATAAAGATAGATGATACAGTAGGTAGGTAGCTGGGTGGGTGGGTGGATGGATAGGTAGGTTGGTAGGGTTAGGGGTAGATATGTAGAGTAGCTCAGGGGTGAACTGTGGGCGCTGTCCTTGGTGCTGCTCTCCGAGCTTGGTCGTTTTCTTGCAGACATTTCTTTACCTAACTAGGTCATATCATCAATGCTGGGAAGGAGTGGGATTTCCTAGAGTTGAGAAGGAAGAGGAGGAGGAGGACGACAAGAACGACGACCGCAGGATCTTTGTTCCTTTCTGAACGGGGTACTTTTCTCGCAGACGTTTCATGGCCCAACCAGGTAACGTCATCCGTCTTGCTAAGAAGCGGGTGCTGTTTGCTGTTTATATCAGTGTTTCTCAACCTTGGCAACTTGAAGATGTCCGGACTTCAACTCCCAGAATTCCCCAGCAGTGGTTAG